TGCTTCCTAGAGCTTTCCTCTGTTTCCTTTTACCTTCCTCCCAGGCAAGGCTTTTGTTCCTGGCCTTAGATATCTGCCGGGGGGTGGAGGGGAGGTGGGTGGGTGGTCAAGGCTGCCCAGAGGTATAGGGCAGAGGCCACCTGGGAAGCCCCCTGACCTTCTGTCGGCACAAGCAGATCCCTGTGGAGTGGGCACTGAGCCATCAGGTCTGCTGGCATCGGTGCATTCAAATGCTCACTGGGCAGAGGCAGGTGTGGCTGTGTCACCTGGACGTCACCAAGTCCCCCAGGAGCTCAGGCACACACCATTGTCCATACCACTTCCAGGCACCGTGCAGCCAGGCCTGGGCTCCAGGCTCAGCCACCACATCTGCCCGGGGTTTGCTAGGTGCTGGGACTAAGTCACAGACACTCTTATCACATGTTTGCAAAGGGTGGGGGTGGGGAGGGCATTTAGCAACAGTATGCAAAGCAGAATTGATTTTTCTTTCACGGGTTGTTAGAAAGGCAAATGCAACTACATGATTTAGGGGTAGATCTTGGGGGCAGCTGTACCCACAGTGAAGGACTTGGTTCAGAAGGACAGAAGCTCAGGGACAGAGCAGTAACCGAGAAACCCTGGATCCTTTCATGGAGCGTGGGGATCTCAAAAACAGTCCCCTAACCCCAGAGAGGCTCCCCAGGAGCAGCTGAGAGGCAATGAGGGGTGCGGGGGGTGTACAGGAGCCTGGGCCCCTCTGATGGGAACCGCAGCCCTGACCCTGAGCACTTTGGGCAGAGTGCGTCAGTCCCCTGGGGTTCTCAGCCCTGGCTGCCGAGCTGGACGACGCACTCACCCTTGGACACTCCTCATGGCTTTCAGCTCTGAGCTCACGACAAGGGGACATACGCAGATGCTGGGCAGAGCGATTGCAAAACCGTCCTGTGAAGACATCACAAGTGGCTAAGGGATTATGCCTGTCAACTATGCCAGTAACCTACCATGCATCCTCCGGCCGGGGAGAGGGACAGCCTGGTGGTCATGATGACGTGGGTGTTCGCTGCACCAATGAAGAGATCCGGAAGGTTGCTTTGAGCCGGGAGAGCTGTGCGGAGGAAGCCTTCTGCCGGACACATCCCCTCCTGGTCCAGCAGGGAGGAGAACGTCTTCCAGGGGAAGCCCTGCTTAGCTGGGCATTCCTAACCTGCTGGGTCCTGCCCGGCTTGAACAGGACATTGTGACAGCGATTTACTGGGTGGCATCTGACCTCAGAGAGGTTGTGAATATGGTCCATCTCAATTCTGACCCACTTCTCTAGAAGCCCAGGTGGTGTAGTGGGTACCATGTTGGGCAGTTCGAAACCAGCAGCAGCTCGGCGGGTTTCGAAGAAGGGAGGAAGACTGGGCTTTCTACTCCCGTAGGCAATTACAGTCTTGGAAACCCACCCACGGGGGTCGCTGTGAGTCAGCACTGACTGGATGGGAGGGAGAGGGTGTGCCCCCACACACACACCCCCATCCCAGGGCCCCCTTCTTAGAGTCTCACTCACTGCCATGGAGTCCATGCCAGCCCACAGCCCTGACGGGATGGGGCGGAACCGTCGCCGTGGGTTCCCCAGACTGTGGCTCTGTACGGTGTTCTGGACGAGCTCTGACAGAGTTGCCAATGCCGAGCGGCTTCCAACAAGGGGAAGGGCTTTATTGTGCGGCACGAGGCTCATCGGATTCGTATCGAGACTGGGAGCCCTCTTGGGGTCTTGCCAATCTTGATAGGGGAGGGGCTGGCCACACGTGTCCCCAGGGGATCGGCTGACTGGCGGCCAACAAGAAGGCTGCAACGGCAGAAGCTGGTGGGGGGGTGACACCCATGGGTTTAACTGTCACTCGCCTTCCAGGCTGTGTTGTCCTGGCCTCAGAGGGAGTAGAAAACCTCAAGTTTCTCCGACGGAGTGGCTGGTGGTCTCAAATGGTTGACCTTGGGTTTAGCAGCCCAGTGTTTAACCCACTAGCCCACAGTGGCTTTTTAAAAAAACGTGAGGACCCAGTGAGTCAGGCACCACTTACCAAGCCCCCAAACACTCTTTACCTCCCCCTGCCCCCTCCCCCTTTACATATAAAAAAAATTACCTCACTGCCATCTAGTTGATTCCGACTCGTAGCAGGCCTATAGGACTGCCCCAGGAGGCCTATGAGACGGTAACTCTGGACAGGAATAGAAGGCTTCTCCCTCACAGTGGGTTTGAACCAATGGCCTTGCAGTTAGCAATCCAACTCATAAACCACCACAGCACCAGGGCTCTGGCTGCCCTCTGTGCTCATTAAGCACATGTTCTGGCTTGACGAGCACAGGCAGAAACGCAGTCCCGGGACACGCCACCTGTCCTCACCAGTGGACATCCTGTCGCTTCTCTCCTCAGCCCACGTCTTCCAGTTGCCTGATCCCAGTGGTGATGGACGGAAAGCCCTTGGGAATTGGCTTACAGCCACTCCGCTGTAGCTGGCGGATCACCATGGTCAGCTTTTCCAGGACCGACTGCAAGGTCCAACACTGATGTCTAGCCCCTCCAGCTCACGGTGCCCGTGGACAACAGGGCAGTCATTCCTTAGAGATTCCAGACGTGCTTAGAGGGACAGCTGCCTCCTCTTTGTCTTGCAGCTCGGCAGGGCGGGTCTGACGACATCCCCCAGTGGGCACACAGGGTGCTCAGGAACAGTGCTCAGATGGGGGCCTGTCTCTGACCAGGAACCCGCGGCTTAGCCACTCAGATGTTGGCCAGAGGCAGGGCTTGGCCTGACACGACCTGAGCCAGAGGCTCTAACTCAGGCAAGAGTTTTATGTGGAGATTTCTGACTTGCCTCCAACTGCCCCCCAGAAGAGAGAGAAGGGGTTTGGCTATCACTCGGAATAGAGGGGCTGGGGATGGGTTAGACAGTAGAATAGGCTCTGCGGGCCAGAGGCCTCAGGGTTCAGGCGGGGAGGGCACAACGGAACCCTTTCTACTGCTTCTTCCTAGGGCTTGAAGGAGGGAGTCTCCGTCTGGTCCCTCTTCAACGAGGGTGCTTATGCCCTGACCTAGGATCACACTGAAGCCCTCTGCCCCCATTCCTGCACCTGAGGACAATGTGACAGGGAGGGCTGTGTCAACTTGGGTGGGCCCGAGGGTCCCATGATGGCGGTGTGGCCAGCTCCACAATAGGTCTTTCGTGAAGCAGCCAGGCAGCTGTGGGGAGAGCAGAGAAGGTACGGTACCCCCTCCTTCCTCTGGTCACAGTCTTGGTACCCCAGAGGGGGGTTTATTCGGGCGTGCAGACTGACAGTGTGTGGAAGGAGCTCATGCCTACTGCTGGGTCTGCATCCTGCACCTGGCTTGTCCACCTCCTGCCATGCTGCCTGCCGACCCCAGCCGCCATCAGCCGACCTCGGATTCCCTCAGCTCAGCATCCACCAGCCTGTGGTCTTCCTGCTCCATCTCCCTGCTCCCTGCCCGTCAGCCCCTGCAGCTGCAGGAGTCAGGAGACGCCTCCAGCTGACAGCTGACCCTGGGCTTGAGCCAGACTGGACTGACCCACTTGTACAACTGTGTGAGCCGTTTCTTGATATAAATCTCCTTCTACAGACAGGCGCATACGGGGGTCATTGGATTTGTTTCTCTAGAGAACCCAGCCTGACCCCAAGACCAGGGGTGGGAATCATACGAAAATCCTAACATTTTAACAATTCCTATTGATTCATTTTACTAGAAACATATCCAATATTCCTATTACTGAACTCGTTCCAATAAACATTACTAACTTCTAAAGGAGCCCTGGTGGAGTTGTGCTTTGACCCACAGGGTTAGCTGTTCAAAACCGTCAACTGCTCCGAGGGAGAAAGACCGGGCTTCCTGGTCCTGTAGTTAGTCACGGCAGCTCTCTGCCAGCACAGTTGGTGAGTCAGCACTGACTCCAAGGGACTGAGTTTGGTTTGCAGTTTTTAAAGGAACCTTGGTGGTGTAGTGGGCTGCTCACCGTTCAAACTCACCAGCCCCTCCTCGGGAGGAAGATTCATCTCCGAAGACCACAGGGCAGCCCTGCTCTGCCCTATTGGGTCTCTGAGTCCCCATCGACTGGATGGCAGTGGGCTGAGTTGCAAGGGATGCAACCAAGCCACGTTCTCCCCATCACTCTCTCAGAGTTACAAAATGGGCAGGGCCCAGCAAGTCACTGAGGTCCAGGCCAACTCTGCCACCACCACACCACCACCACCGCAAGCCAGAGTCCAGGCCACCTGGCTGCCCTGGCCTCACTCTTGCCCCTTTGCTGGGTCATCTCCCGTCACCCTCAGTGCCACCCTCCAGCCCCCCACACCCCGTTGGAGTGTGTGGTGCAGAGCATAGCCGAGAAGGAAACCACAGAGCTAAGCCCTTCAACCATGGCAGCCGGAGCCTCGGAGGCCCTGGCGTCCATCACTGAGCCAGGCTGACGCTGCGGGGGTCACCATGATGCCCAGGTCCTGGTCCTGTGCTGGGCTGCAAACAAAGATGTGGGCCTGCTGCTGTGCACCCCCCCCCCCCTCGCCGGTGAGCCAGCTGTCTCTAGGCAGGCACGTCTGTGAGCTCCAGTAAGATTGGAGGTGTGCTCCCTGGCTGGTGGCATGCTGCTTGGTTTCAAAGTCACCATTGAGTGCTGTCTAGTCCGACTCATGCCGACCCCAGGTGACAGCAGAACTGACTCTCGGGGTCCCAAAGGCTGTCATCTCTTGGGAGCAGGCAGTCTTTTTGCTGAGGAGGGCGGTGGGGCTGAACCTCTGACCTTTCAGTTAGAGAGGGTGAGTGATTTTCTCCCCTGAAAGGAGGCAGGGTGTTCTCTCCCTTCTTATCGGCATGGCTGCTGCCCCATGGGAGGCGGTTCAGAGTGCTGTGCCCGCCCTCCAGCCTTGCCCTCCCAGAGCCCCTCCCACCACCACCGCTCCAGGAAAGCTCACAGACGCTCCCTCCCAGAGCTCCTTGCCCACAGGAAAGCTGGCCTCGGGCACAGAGGGGGCACGGGCAGGTTGAGTTTATTTGCTGCAGTTCCTTGGTGCTAGTTTACAAGGCAAAACAAACAAAACAAATAAAATAATAATTATAATCTTTTTAAGAACCCTGTCAACAGTTTTCAGTCATGTCTTTATATTTTATATTTTGACAAAACTTTGTTTTTTTAAACAAATACAAAATAATCTAGGAGGAGAAAAACTATACAGAGATATGTACACTCTGATAAATAGACTAATACTGACCCAGCTGCTGTTCCCAGTCTGTCCTGGGAATCAGTGCGGTGGGTGGGGCCCCAGAGCGGGGCCAGTTGGGGAGCTCTGGCCCCAGCCACTGGCTGGCACCCCCTGCCGGCCGGGGTTTCCCAGGCTGCAGCATGCAGCCACCACTGGGTGGGTCCAGCTGTACTGCCTCCTACAAGGGCTCCTGCCTGAAGGTGGTGCCCAGAGTGCGGCTTGCGCCTGGGAGCAGAGGGGCAGGCTGCCGGCTCCAAGGGGCCTGTGTCCCCCTCTGCTGAGGCGGTGGCCAAGGGAGCCGCTAAGCGGCAGGGGTCTCCCTGAGAGTCCCTGAGAGAACGGCAGGAAGGCCGGATCCCGCAGCCCTCGCACCGAGTTGGGGCCGGGCACGCCCCGCCACCGCCAACAGCTGTCGTCAGCAGGAGAGGCGGGTGTCCGTGCACCAGGACAGGGTGGGCCCTAAGGCGGTCTGGTGAGACCCACTCCCTCCTCTACAACGAGGACCAGGTGGGCAACAGTCGGGCCGTTCCGAAGCCCTGCGGGGCCCCTGGGTTTGGGTTGCAGGTGTTTTGTTCAGGGAAGAACGTTGACTTTGTGGCCTGGAGCCCACCCAGAACTTGCATTTGGAGAAGAGTCCCTCCCCTCCCGGGGGCTCCACAGGCCACCTGCGCCGAGTCCGGAGGGTCCTGACCACAGAGGCCATGGCCTCCACCCCCCCACCCTCTCCTTCACCTTGTGCCCAGATGGGCAGCACCAGGTCTGGCCACCCTGCCAGCAGCTGCTGTCCGGACAGTGCTATGCTCTCTCTGTTCCGGGGAAATCTATCTGTATGGCGTGTGGCTTCTCTTCCATCCCCCCGGCGGTGGCCGCGGGCGGAGTCGGGGCGGGTGGAGGTGCCTTCACAGAAAGCAGGAGTGGTGCAGGCGCGGCGCGACGATGACACTGCTGTCAGACTGCACGGCGGGGCGGAGAGGCATCAGGGGCAGCCGTCTCCACTTCATGAAGGAGTGAAAGCTGAAGCCAGTCCGAGGGCTTGGGCAGTGCCAGGGGGAGGGGCACGGTGCCCGCGGGTTTCTCAGTGTCTCTTTGTGGAAGATACCTTCTTCTTGCGGGCTGCCAACATCTCGTAGAAGGGGTCCCTGCTGATGGCTGCTCTGCATACACAAATGGGGGGACAGGGAGCTGAGGTGCAGTGGGCAGAACTGGGCCCTCAGAGATGCATGGGGAACAGAGATGTGGGGTGCATGTGAGATGCAGAGATGTGGGAGCGCTCTGTGGCATGAGGTGCCATCAGAGCGATGTGGGGTGCAGTCAAGACAGTGGTCAACGGCAGGTCCCAGCAGCACCTGGTGGCCCCACAGCCAGCTCATGGTGACATGCTTCCTGAGACCGAGGGTCAGGGGACAGACAGCACTCAGGCAGGACCCTAGTTCAGGAGACACACTTGGGCCTTAGTGTTCTCACTCTAGCTATGTGGTCACGGGGCACCAGAAGCCCCTCATGCACCAGTGCAGCGCGGCTGGGAGCCAACCTTGGTGACCAGGACTGGCGGTCCCTGCTTGGAGCTGGCAGTCGGGTGAGGGCGGGGGTGAGCACACGAGGAGGGGGTTAGGGTGGAGGGTCTCTAGCTGACTAGGCCTGTTCCCAGCAGGTGCCGTTTCCACAGCACCAGGACTCCTGAGGGGGCTGACCCTGGACAGGGGCTTGAAGGGAACATCTAACGGGGAGGAGACATGGGCTAGTCCAGCACCTGGCCCACGGACAGCCATCCTGGCACAGAGCTGTCTCCCTGTAACAGCCCTGATTCCTCAGTGAGAAAAGACAGCTAGAGCCCACTCGGTGAGGAGCACCTGGGATGGGAGCCCCCACAGAGCAGTCAGGGGGCACAGCCAAACATTGCCCAGGGCTTGCAGGTCCATGGCCCATGGAGGGGTGGGGCGGGGCCCAGGTGGGGCACCTACTTGATGCACTTGATCCACTCGTCCTTCTCCTCGGGCGCGGGAGCGGAGATGCGGTACACCGTGTGGTTGCCCTCCACCACGCGCCCGTCCGCCTCTGTCTTGCAGGCCTTGATCACCTGGTCCTTGTTGTCAGGGATGTACAGCTCAAAGCAGTTCTGCGAGTCAAGGGGGGCATGGGTGAGACTTCCGAGGAAGCTGTGACCAGGCACTACCTTCCTTGAGCCTGTCCTATCTGCCACACACCAGGACCACAGGCTCCTGTTCAGTGTCCACACACCGGGACAACCGGCCCCTGTCCAGTATCCACACACTGGGACCATAGGCCTCTGTTCTAATCTCCACACACTGACAGCCAAGCTACCAAGGTCCTCATCCCAAAGCAGGAAGATGTCTATTTAGAGCCCAGGTCCTGGAACAAGTGCCTGGGCCCAAGTGTGTGCTGCTGTCACCACGTGAGGTAGGATGCCGATGCCTCACACACAGCCAGTGAGCGATGGTGGCCAAGCTTGAAGCCTCAGTACCTTGCACAGAGTTGGCAAGCCGGTCACTGAGTGAGGAGAAACAGTATCGAGAGCTCACATATTGATACAGTGGTCCCTGCTGAGTGAGGGGAAACAGTATCGAGAGCTCACGTACTTGATACAGTGGTCCCTGCTGAGTGAGGGGAAACAGTTACTTG